TTAAAAGTCAACAAAGAAACATAAGTGATTTTGTGAAGAAAGTGTATTTTGCTTATTTCAAATTGAAACTTGGGGATCAAGACAAACCTTGGGCTCCTCACAAGGTGTGTAGAGGGTGCGAGGAAGATCTTCATTTGTGGTTTAAGGGTAAGAAAAACTCATTTCGTTTTGGAATTCCTCTGATGTGGCATGAGGAACAAAACCACACGACTGGTTGTTATTTCTGTTCGGTAGATATGAAAGGCTTTCATACAAAAAATAAAAGGAAATATCTTAGCCAAACCTTAATTCAGCTATTCGTCCAGTGCCTCATAGCTCTTAAATACCAGTTCCCCTCCCACCTTCCAGTTTGGATGATATACAGAGTGATTCGGAGGACGGAACTATATTACCACCCCAGGATGAATCCAGCTCAGATTTTTCTGTTAATGAGGGACCCCAACCTTTTTCTCAGAGTGAGCTCAATGACTTAATTAGAGATTTAGGCCTTTCCAAAGATGCAGCCGAATTGCTAGGGTCAAGACTAAAAAATAAAAACTTGCTGTCACCTGGAACATCATTCTCATGGTACAGGCACCGAGAGAAGGAATTCACTCAGTTTTTCTCCAAAGAGGGAAATGGGAGAAAAAGAAAAAGAAGCATGGGACTCCTTCAAAGACATAGTAGTGCACAAGTTTTTGGGGAACACTAAAGACCCTCTCTACAAAACCAATGTACAACGCATGTTGGCTGCATATAAAGCTCAAGGCTGCAAGATGAGCTTAAAAGTTAATTTCTTACACGCCCATGTCGACTACTTTCCCGAAAACTTGGGAGGCTATAGTGAAGAGCAGGGTGAACGATTTCACCAGGATGTCCATGATATCGAAAGATGCTACCAAGGAAGATGGAATGCGAATATGCTAGCTGACTGCTGCTGGATGATCAAGCGGGAAACGGAAAATGGAAAGCGAAAGCGTGTTCGGAGAAGCATCAAAGAGAAGAAGAAAAGGTTTCACAGGCAAAAAGACTGAACACAGAATGTTAAATATATCGTGAAGGAATATTTTGTTTAATTATGAGAAATAATATGTTTAGTTCAATGTAATAAAATTAGTGTTTTTTTTTCATTGCTGTTATGATTTTTATTGTAAACCCCTATTATTTTCCAAAAAATCGTACATGATAGGGGGAAATTGAGGTCATTTTTGGATTCAGCTTCCTAGAAAACATAAAGGTTACCAAAAATATTCCATGCAGCTGAAAAAAAAATATATTTTTGCAGACCTGTGTAATCTGTGAATAGTAAAATTTTGAAATATGTTCCTTCTCTTGTTTTAATTCCTGATTACTTTAGTCTTTTCTTTCCCTCAGGAGGTCATCAGGATAAATGTTAAATGGAGGGAAGGCCACAACCTTAATTTATTATGATTTCCTTTATGGGTAAGATTACAGCATATATTTTATACCTACTGAAGGAGTGAAGACATTAAGAAAGAGACAATCCTCACTGCCTATAACAGCTGTTTTGTTCAGAGGATCTGGCTGAGGGCATGGAGGACCTGCTCTAGTTGCATTGACATCACCTGCCAGTTGCAGTTTTTTTGGTCGCTGTAATCAGAATAAACCAAACCTTAACAACAGAAACAAAAAAAAATCCTTTGGTACATGTGATAAACACTACCAGAAAGTGGAATAATGAGATGGAATGTTCAGATTATGACCTTCTGGGTTGTGACACAAGGTAAATAACAATGGTTTGAAGGAATATGCTGCCTCCATCTTCAGGAGCAAAGACTAGCTGGTGTCACAATCCAGAAGACCACAGTGGGAACAATCACTGCAGTGAAAACTTCAACACTTTTAACAGTCGGGCTGAATTTGTAAGTTATTTATTTTAAGTCAGCATGTCAGCCAAATTTATATTACAGACATAAATATATGCATTATGGTATCAGGTCCACTGTGAAAAGTTGATACACCACCTCCTGACTGCAACATTTTGTCTCATTATTTGTCATGACTTCCTAGCCTCTTATGAGCACTTTCTATGGCAGAAATCAACGGCAGTCATAAGATAACAAGTCAAGACTAAATTCAGATAAGTGCATGTTGTTCCCTGCACTGCTTCTAGTGATTAGATGCCAGGTCATGTAGTATGTCATCTGAATGAAAAGAAGAGAAAATGATATTCTAATTATAACGAGTATTAGTTCTGACAAAAGTTCCTCCAAATTTTTCTGTTACCCTTTTATTATTTATCACTTATCACATTCTAAAACAGTCCTTGTTATGTGAAATTTGTCCCATTTCATGATTAAATAATACAGTACATGAGTTACAGAAAGGAGTAATACAAGTAATTCAATAATGGAAACTGTTCTTTGCAATTTTGTATACATTATGTTCATATATTGTACATACACATCTATGGATTATTAAAGATTCAGATTTCTTGTTGTACAAGTAATTATAATCCATACAATACATGGCCAAGCTAGGACAGCTCAGTCAATATACCAGGTGGCTACAGGCTGGACGAATGAGGGATCAGAGTGCGAGTCCCAGTAGGATCAAGAATTTTCTCTTCTCCAAATTGTCCAGACTGGGTCTGGGGTCCAACCAACCTCCTATCCAATGGGTACCGGGGGCTCTTTCCCCAGGGCTAAAGTGGCAAGGTGTGAAGCTGACCACTCACCTCCAGCTAGTGCTGAGGTCAAGATAATGTGGATCTATACAAACTCGCCCATACACCTCCATGGTGCAGTGCTTAATTCATTGAGCACAGGGATAACTTTACCTTTATTTACAATACACTGCAATCAGAAAGTATTTACCCTTAATATTCACTGAACATTCACTATATTTTACTAAAGCTGTAGATTTCTATTCATATTTTATGCCAAATACCAGCTTTCTTGTATAATCAGCCATTTTGAGAATATCCATAGAAAAAATATGAGCTGTATATAAAGCAGGGCTTATACTGGACCAATACAAACCAAAATTGAATTTTTCCCACAAATTTAGTGTAGGCCTTCAGTATCAAAAGTCAGTGAAACGTGTAAGGTATTTTCAGAGATAAAACATGCATATACATTAATCTCAGTATTTAACATCTTTCTATATCTAATTTTCAAATGAATTAATTTACCACAATAAAGCCTACATGAGGGCAGTTTGGTAACCAGATACATCACAACTCATATGATTTTGAATACCCAGGCATTCTGTAGCCAATAGTAAAGTAACTTCTAGAGCACTATATAGCTGACACTGCCTTCCAGCACTGATATTCAAAATATTATAAATGAGTGACAGTGATCCAAGTTTCTGCATAGCCTGTGAATATATTGCCATGTGACTCTGACTCTAGATGGGCTTTGGATTGGTAATCAAATTTACTAAACTCCTAACTACAAGTAAGGGTTATGCTCTCACTGTTCTACACACTTCACACATCACATTATGTCTTCTCAGTCTGTTTCAGTCTTTATTAGCTGTTGTTTGCTAGCGGCTTTCAAAGATGGATGTTCCCCTTCCTCTGGGTTCCTGTACTATCCCCAGCCACAGTTACCAGCTTCTAGCAGCAACAGCTCACAACAGCTAAACCCCAGCATTATCTAACTCACTCACTCACTCACCAACAAACTGACTGACTGACTACTAACTTGTCCTACTTATAACATCTTGACATGGATTGCAGGAAACACAATTCCTCTGTTCCACTGTTGCTTATTTCATGGATGTTGCCTAGCAACGGGTCTACATGTCACACTGCCCTTTCCTTAAGGCTATTTTTACCAAACAGCTTACAGGCATACCGCCATTTCTTCTTATCCGAGGGCTGTGTTTGTGATGTCCGTGATTGGCATCATCTTCCTTCCCCATGCCTCGGTTCTAATGGTAATTACTTTCCAACTGCTCCCCCCTTAAGTCTGCTCATCCAGAGCAGTTCCCTGATAGGGTGCGAGCCAGTCCAAGTGTACCACCATCATCTTTGTACCTTTCCAAAGGCTATGTTTTGATGTTTCTTCTTTTGCTTAGGAGGGTATTGACCACCCCTCCACAATGACCAGTCACTCACTTCCCATAGCCCAGTCGAAATCCCGACTATTTGCTTCTCGGTCTCCAGCTCTACAGCTTTCCTGAAGATCCTGCCAAATATCCTCTCCTTCCTCAAGATCGTTTTGCCACTTGGCCCTTTACTCCATTGTTGCACTTCGGGCCCTTCTATCATCTTTCCTTGATCGTCTGTCTTTATGACTGTGGGCCTTAACCAATGCAAGCACGGCACAGCGGGTAAACTGTCCGCTAGAAGCAACCAACTTCTGCCAGGGCCCACCGTTGCCCTGGTCCATTTCTATGACCATCAGCGGCGCCTCAGGGCCAGATGCCCGTCCCCATATTGGTCTTCCTGCACTCCGTTAGCCTCCACTGCGGCCTTTTCGTTATGGGCATCCCAGCGCTCCGCAATGGTCTCTACCTCTTCTGGATTTTCCTCCTTCTTCAGACAGGTCCCCGCCCCTTCTCGACAGGTCTTCATCTCCTCTCGCTCCACATCTGTCTCTGCCTTCATCTCTCCATGTCTCCATCGCTTTACAGCAGGCCTTATTCCTTTCCCACCAGTCATTCATATTGGCTTCCTGATTATCTTCTATCTTGGCTATCTGTTCCATCATGCCTAGCAGACTTTCAAAATCCACCATAATTATCTGTTATTCAATGATGCATAGTTCACCAAGTCCAGCAATTAACTCAATTCAATCTTTTTGGTTTGCTCAATCCAATCTCACTTGACACCAGTTGTCACGTGACTGTGACTTCAGACAGGGTTTGGATTGGTAATCAGATTAATTGAATGCTCACAGCTCGTGACTACAAGTAAGGATGTTTTTATTGTTGTACACACTCCACAAATGACTATAGGACACAATAGGTCTTGTCAGTCTGCTACACTCTTCACTAGCCGTTGCTTGATAACGGCTTCCAATGGCGGATGTTCTCCGTCCTCTGGGTTCCCAAACTATCTCCGGCCTCAGCTACCAGCTTCTAACAGCAACAGCTCATGACTGAACCCCGGTGGTTACCTACAAGGTGTACTGGTAAATTCCCAGACTAGTTCAAAAAAGAAATGACAACTTAACTTTCTCAATTTTGGCTGCCATCTTCTTCAAAATAGACTCCTTGGGAAAGTATTCAGCGAGCCCATCCCCCCCCCTCGCTTCAAAAGCACTGTGGAAATCATTTTCCTCAATGCTGTCGAATACTGTTTGTTAGACACTGTTTCAAAATGTTGTCCCTTCAGTTTCAATTCGGGAAACAAAGCAAAATCACAAGGGGCTATGTTTGGCAAGTAGGGAGGATGGTGAACGAAAACCATGTCACTGTTAGTCACAAACTCTGTACTGCGTACACAGGTAGACCCCACTAGTGATATGTGTGACACACCAAAACTACCACCGCCACAATAGTGTGCAACGACGGCATTCTGATCATGATATAGTGCTAAAATGGACGTGCATGGAAGTACAGCGAACAAGTATACAGTGCAGTGGTCTCCCAAAAGAAGGAAAATTACCCGATGATGGCCCATGTGGCCGAAACATGTAGAAAATTAGAACAAATATATGACTAAAGACATTTTAGAAAATTGGATTATCACTTTTAATGCATAGAAGCTGCTTTTAATGTCCTATTGACATGTAATGATTTTAACATCAAAAAGTGTTGAAATACATTTTAGTGTGAAACATATTCCTAATGTCTTTTAAACTGTTTCATTATTGGCGGATACTTTGATAATAAGGGATGACTTCAGATTTAACTTCAGGGTGTCTAGAAAGAGAGCATTAGTCACAATATGCAGCTTGAAATCTCATGCTAGTGTAATTAATGTGTAATGCAAAAGGATAAAGAAAATGGACCTTTACTTACTTGTTTACTTTTGGAAGTCAAATGCAGGCCACTTACATGTACATCAGTGTACCTGCTATTTTCCTCAGTTGGAAGTCAGTAATTTCATTTAAAGGATAGATTCATATGTAATCAGTCTTCCTTGTTTTAAAGTAAATGTACATGTTTCAACATACAAATTATTTTATTAGATAAGATCTCAGTTATTTTGGGGTGGGGGGGAGAAAGAGGGGGTTTGCTATGCACATCAGTCTAAAGGCTTATTTTTTCCTCAATAAAGTACCAGTTCCACCAAGACAGACTATATGTGATTTATGCGACACCATAAAACATGATTTGTTACTGTGTAACAGGGCATGTCATTTACATGTCACAGAATTTAAAAGAGGTTCTTTCTCTATTTACAAAGTATGAACCCTATTCAATGGTTTCAGTGTAAGTAAAAATGATATGACATGAATCATACAGTTAATATCTTGCTCTGATTTTCTTCTGGTTTATTATACAGTACTGTGGCTCTGATCATATACGAGACACAACGAAATTATGGCTCACAAGCTGTATGTGGCTCATGCAAAAAATCTCTTTTTAGTCTGCTTCCTTATTTTGAAAAAACAAAAGTAGACTTAAAGATCATCTTGCTGTGTGTGTGCCTGTGTTTATGTACTCCCCTTATCATCACTAGGCAATGTTCAATAAATGTGTTCCTGCAGCAATAAATACACAGAGCCCATGTTGTATCAAATACTCAATACGTAGTGAAAGGAAAATAGACAATCAGTTCTCACCAAAACTTCTTGTTTATACATGATTTAAATATAATTAATCTGCTGCATGGAAGGCATATTTCTAAACACCTATGCCAGCCAATCTGCTGTCTGCAGCTCCCACTCATATGCAACTCATGTTCAGCAAATATGGCCACCCCTGCTCTATAACATCAGACATTAAGACTGGTAAATAATGAATTGGAAAGGATTTCAGAGGAAGTGGTCATGGTTTGATCTAGGTTCTACCTCAGAATTTACTTGTCAGGATAGCAAGTATCCCTGCTGAGATTTCTACAGATACAAGTCTAGAGCATTACTGCTACACTAGCCTGCTTGGTCATTTCCCAGTAAAGTAGACAGGGTCCTGCAGTGCTTGTTATAAAACAGGACACATGCAAATGATAATGATAATACAAACTCAGGATGTCCTCGTCCGGATGTATAACAGATAACACAGCCAAGGCAAATAGACTCAAATCATACTGTTATCTTGGGGTAGCTAACTTAGATATTGCAATGAGTGTTCTCACCCTATCAGTTTGGATAAATGAAATGCACTAAATTAATTAAACCATAAGGAAAAACTTTTCATTAAGTGAAGATTCCATTTAAGACTCTTTTGGGGAGTAGTGAATTTGTAGGCTCAAGCAAGGAATATTTTAATACTACAATTATTGACTTGGGTTCATTGAAAATGAACACTAAATAAAGGAAACCCTTAAATCAAGAAACATTAATTTGGGATTCCAGTGTATTTAAGTAACATCATAATTTCCATGATGATGTCCCCTCTGTTGGTCCAACGCTTAAAAAGTCAATTAGAAACCACATGTATTGCAAAAATTCTTCCTCTGTTTTTGTTCAGGTGTGATATTATTTCAAAGGATATTGGTGGGAAAGCCAGAAGGAAAGAGACCACAGGGACGACCAAGGCGTAGGTGGGTGGACAATATTAGAATGGATCTTAAGAGAGATAGGATGGGATGGTATGGATTGGATAGATCTGGCTCAGGATAGGGACCAGTGGAGGGCTCTTGTGAACATGGTAATGAACCTTCGGGTTCCACAAAATGCTGGTAAATTCTTGAGTAGCTGCAGAATTGGCAGCTCCTCAAGAGGGGCTCAGCTCCATGAGTAAGTAAGTGATATTATTTCTACTGCCTCTCTGACAAGTTGGTACATGAAACCTGATGTTTTGGATTGTGGACTGCCTTCATATTAAATTTTCCTACAGATTAATATGAGGAAGGAATGGTGAGTATTAAAACTTAGCAAAGCATGGGACTCCTGCATCAGATTTATAGCTCACCCCAGTGCATACAACAGATCAGACAAACAAACACAAAGGGAATACCAGCCTATAAAGAAGACAAAGTAAGTGACAAACAAGGACAGCTTTAAGTGGCATGGTGACAAGCTATACAGATGGGTGACTGCACAATTCGACTCCACCCTCCTTCCACATAGGACACTGAGAGGTTGAGACATTGATTTGACTTATTTATATATATAATCAGCAACACGTCATCATTCACCATATCAGCCGACTGATGTTCTCTGAATTTTCTTTAACTCAATATTGACATGACTGATTGCTTAAGAAAATTTTAGTACCTTTGCTCAATGTGAAAGCTGTAAAACTTACAAAATTACCAATGGCTGATAATTATGGGTACATTTATATTTCTCTAAGTGGCCTGGATTCCACTCCAAATGTTTCCAAAAGCAAGCAACTACATTTTTATAAAGCTCTACCCTTTCAATTCATTCACATTACATGCAGTTTACATGCATGAAATTTCTTTAATTATGACTACATTCCTGACTTTCAATGTGCCCTGGATTCTACTCTGGGGGCTTCAAACGTGAAAGGCAGTGAAGTCTGAGGTTGAAATTATTTATTTTATGTTAAAGTTCATAATCTGTTTAACTGACCTCGGTCAATCGACCATACCTTGTATATTTGCCATTGGATGTAGCTATAGCCTACATGATGCTAGAACACACTATTGCTCATATATCACCAGCATTTTAGACATTTTTCCTACTATACAGACTGAAACCACCAAAATGGTCATATCTGCTAACTAGCTGAGCCCCAGTGTTTTTATGGGTATTAATCAGGAAACATGGGCAGTAATAAATAGGCAGCAATATTATGATTAGTGAGCCAGCATAAATTCCTTTAGTTTAGCACTAAATATTATCTAACACAAGGTCAACCAAATAACTAAAATTACATCATGGTCCTATAGTCACAAGATATCTTTAAGAATGAGGATTATTTTCAAAGGCTTCAAAATAATTCAAAATTAAGCAGTTTTACAGTTCCAAAATCCTTCAAAAACAGAATTAGACAGTTTCATAACAGCTTTCTAATAACGAAATTCCTCTCAGCTAATACCAAGAGTCTATAATGAATTCAAATCCTGGTGAATGATTTCAATCATGTGTTTCTAAATTAATGAAGTTACATTAACATATGTCCACACAACACTTGGGTCCACCTTGCTTTTATGGCATGGCTAGCATTACAAAATATATACAGCATGGACTAGCATACTGGCATATAAACTTAAGCAAAAATTGTTATCTCAATCCTGTTAGAACAGACATGATTCTGAACCAGAACTAAGTAATTTTAATCTCTGTCCAGTCTTATGGGATCTGATAATACATTTTCAGGAGAGCAGTGCTTGCTTTGCTTCATGCTGGTTTCATGCTAGGCTTATTCTACGACCCTGAAGCTGACGTGTTCCTCAGAAACATTGACTTTCAACAGACTATACAACATTATATTCAAGATGACAGAAATCTTCATAACCACTATTGTGAGAACCACATATCTGGAATACTTTTCCTTAAATACTACCCTACTGAAATACCTACTCTCTGCCTATTTCATTTGTCACTAGCATAGTCCTTCAGCTGAGTTTTTCCCTTTTAAATTATAAATGAGGGATTCTCATGTTTTACTTACATCAGAAGCTGCAGGCGGGAACATTTTAATTATACTGCACTGTACAGAGTGAACAGTAATACATACAGAAATGACAGACACATATGATGTTGGCACCACCTGTTACAGGAACTCTGAATGAAAGTTTCAACTTCCATGTTTCAGATACTAGACAACAATAAATTCTTAAACAGGTTCACATTCTCAGATAAAGTATCATTCTGCTGTATAGAAACATTAGTCCAAAAGTGAATGTCTGTGGACTGTTACACACAGCCCTTCCTCCTTTGCTGACAGGACTGTAACACCCACCAATTATCTTGATATGCTTGGCACTCTGTAACTGCAACCTGAACTCTAGTGTCCAAAATAAAAAATTTAGAGAAAACTGCTATCATTACTGAACCTGCTGATTTTGGAAATGTTGCGATGCATGTAGGCAGTCATCAAATGTTGTTTAGACATTTCATGCCTGCTGAGTATGTTTAAAAACAGCCAATAAAATTTCCAAGTTCTTTTCTTAGATGCTGCAAACCCTGTATATCTCATCTGTCTTTTTATTTTACATTAAATTTGTAAAGATAATCTGTGTTCATTCTGTAATATATTAGGAGCAGAGGGATAATTAGGAATTTTCTGACCTGGAATCTAAACCTTCCTACAGGTGGTTCAGCATATCTGATTCCCCAGAAATTGTAATATCCATCACGTCCATCTCTGGTGCCATAAACTTTTGCAGTATGATCATGCAAAAACACAAACACAACAGGATCATCTTCAGGTGCAACAGCTGCTGGCCTGCCACCAACAATTCGTTTCACTCGCTTATTTGCAACAGTCCTTGGTATAAGCAACGCAATAAGTATTATTGCAAGAAGCTGCAAACAGGCCATCTTCAGCACTGGAATGATTACACCACATTGATAAGTGATGCTAGTTCAGTCAGCACTCAACAGAGTAGCCAGCTCTTGGTTCACCAGCACCGAAATAGCATTCATGATAAAGATGAGGTGTTGCCACTACAAATGGAACACACATAATGACAAAACCACACTGAAACTCAATGTAAATAAAAATTGCCCAATATGAAAGCTAATACATTAAGTTCTTCCTTGTACTTCATTCAGAATACCAATAAAAAAAATATACACACAAAAATGTGTCCTAAGCTGACCTGGGCATAAGTGGGAGGATAATATTAAAATGGATCTCAAAGAAACAGTATGATGGAGCAGTTGATTCAGTTCACTCATGGTAGGATCCAGAGTGAGGTTCACAGTAATGAACCTTCAATTTACATTAATGACAAAGAATTTAAAATAACAATCTTTCATGACCTGTACTCCATGCAATGAATATGACAACATTCAGATTATATGTTAGGCACTAATACATAAAGGCAGCCAGAATAAATGTAACCCCTGACTCATTACTGTGCAATTATCCTTGTATAGATTTACCATCATAAACTCCAAGGAGAGGAACCCTTCTTCAAGAGCCATCAGTTGTTCAAGTGGCTCAGGCACTTCCTTGGTTAAACAGGGTTGATAAGATAGGTAAAGTAGTGTGGAAAGTAACAAATACCAAATATAACAAACCACACATGCATCTTCTCACTCCACCATGCAGCAGCAATGGAGCAAGGCAGTCCATGGTAACTTCACACAAGTGTTCCGACAAATAAAGTACCTCTTCTTTGCTTACTGTTACAGCACTGTTATTTTTGGTAAATGAAACTACAATCATAAGGACTGGTGCAATTAAAATAACACAACATCAAATTACTGTATTCTCAAATATATTAACCAAACCAATGATACATATTCAAGTACACAATACATGATCTGTCAATCTAATCATCTCCCTTCTTGGTATCAGTTTTTCCACCACGAATTCTGCCAGTTCTTCTTGCAGCAATAAGACCAACCTTACGACCAGCACTGGTTCCTCTCTTAACAGTGGAGGCTTTGCCAATGTGCTGATGGTTACCACCACCATGAGGATGTTCCACAGGGTTCATAGCCACACCTCGTACTTTAGGCCAGCAATTGCGCTTAGCCTTGTATTTATGGTATGCACGTCCAGCTTTCAGAATTGGCTTATCAATTCTTCCGCCACCAGCAACAATACCTTAAAAACACAAATGTGACAACTGGAGACAATCCCAGTTCCTATTTTCACAGGAAATATTATATGATAATTAAAAGCAGTCATCACAACAGCATCCTGATATGAGGGAGAGTCAGTAAATAGGTCACAAACTGATATAAAACATATAACGTGATTACCAACCTGGGAAAAATATTTGTTTCCTGACATATCCTCCTCCACCATCAATACAAGTACACTTGTGTCATCACTTTACCAGTGAACTGAAACCTGAAGCATAAAATATTGTTGACTGTTGTCTCAGTCAATTCCGCACCTGGTTGGGCATCATCTGCAACTTTCGAATGTTCTAGAAAGAACTTCTCGACCCAGATGCAAACCAATTTACGTGACAAACGCTTCCCACCATAAAAAGGAAACATTTCTTAAGAATATCCTTTTGCTACCTGTTACCTAGCAATACACATAGAAAACCTATTATGTCCATTACAGCTGTTTTATTTCCATTTGTGACCTATTTACTGACTCTCCTTCATAAAGCAGTTTATGTTACAGAATGTATTATTATTATTGGAGGGGGTGGGTTTCCCCATGCACCGCGACCAGTTGTTGATCTATTGTACATCCCCCTTTGATATTCTACCAGTCGCCATACCCTACTGGTACTGGTGTGTGCTATTAGCCCCATTCAGCCAACGAGGTCGGCCTTCGGTACCTAATACTTCCATCTACGAGGCATTGGTAACTACTTGGGCAGGAAACTTTTTGCCTAATTTAGCTCAGAGGTCTCCTAGAGACATGAGGATCTTTTATGGGCCGTAAATCTACGATACGGAACCCATGGCTTGAAGTCCCTCCCGGAGGACTTGTTCCCTGAATTTTTCCACCCTTAAAAATTCCATGACCTCTGCCAGGTTTGAACCCGCGTACCTTGAGTCATGAGGAGGGAACGTTACCCCTAGACTACAGAGGCCGCTTTACAGAATGTAACACAAATTTCTAGTTTCCTTCCACAACAATCTTTACATCCCAATCCATACAGACTATCCACCATAGCTTCTGCCTTCCACTCCCTCCCATACCTGCTGGTATTACCATGAATATGACCAGTGCATTTCTATTAACTTCAATAAATTTAGAGATTCCAGGTCCCTTCTATAGATTACACAGGGTGTACCATTCAAAACAGACAGATATTCCAATTTGCTACAGCAATCAGGCTCATGTTCCTTCAAAGCTGCAGAGCACACCAGCTGACAAAAGTGTCTGATTTCAGTATGATAAGAGATAGTCCCCACTCCAACAAAACTGAGTTTGTGATGTCAACAACACAGTTAAAAATTAAACTATGGAACAAATGTACCCATTTATTACTGGCTTTTCAGTCCCCAGATATGCCACTGTCCCGTTTGTATGCTATATTACACCTGTATTACTGTTTGTACACCAATCCTTCCAGACATAACGAAAGCATTACTTACCAACCATAGCTCTGTTGTTTGAGGGCATCACCTTTTTTGCCCCAGATGGCAACTTGACACGAGTCTTCTTTGTATCAGGGTTATGAGCAATCACAGTAGCATAATTACCAGAGGCACGAGCCAGTCGGCCACGGTCACCTGTCTTCTCCTCAAGGTTGCATACAATAGTGCCTTCTGGCATACTGCCAACAGGCATTACATTTCCAATCTGAAGATTTGCTTTAAAGGACAATAAAACAATATTGTAATGTGCTTATTAAAAATGCCATAGCTTGATTTATTCAGTGTGGTGGTGGCAGTGGCAATGACAGCAGAAGCAACGAGGAGGAAGAGAAGTAATGCGTATGAATCCAGTGCACAAAATCATATTCCAAATTTCACTCTACCGATGTATTATCAATTTACATTATCTAAACAGGCCATTAAGAACATAAGATTTGTAGGTATTGAGGTCTCCGTAATAGGAATGTGGGCTTTCCAATTTTCTAGATTTGAAGACCAAATGGTGATGATTACTTATACACTGATATGCTGCACCACAGCTCAAGTGGTTAGTCACTGGCTTCCCACCGTGGCAGCCCAGGTTTGATCCCGGGTCTGGTCAAGTGATGCTGGGGCGGGTCTTCTCCAAGTACTTCGGTTTCCCCTGCCAATCTTCATTCCACCAAATTCTCCATCATCATAATCACCCAGGGCAAGTACAATAGGCCAATTAGTGGCCGCTGGGCTGAGTGGATCCAGTTAAACTGAGTATGCAGTATACACTGAGAAGTTTAAAGAGCTTTAGAACGAATAAAGTTAAATTACCTCAAAAACATTCTCAATTTACTTAAAATGTACAAAAAGAAAAATCTAAAATGCTGCCAAAAAGATACAAACCTAAAATAAATTGTCTCATTATTTTCCCAACAGGATGATAAACCAATATAATTTCTTTACCTTTCTTTCCACAGTACACAAACTGGCCTGTGTACATCCCTTCAGGTGCAATAAACAGCTCCTTGCGTGTCTTGAAACGGTATGGGTCACGAAAATGAACCAGAGCTAATGGAGCACCGCGTCCAGGGTCATGGATAATGTCCTGTCAATTGATATGCAACATATCTCATTAAATATAAAACTGGTATGTGTAGTACAAGTAAATTTAGTACTTTCAAGGCCAAAAGAGTTCGCATGAGTCCATAAAGTAGATGTATAACATGTTCTAACAGAACAATTAATGCTTTAATATAACCAGTAATATTTCCTTAATTTACTGTTAAGTAGCTAAGCTAACTGGGTCTGTGGGTTCTGCGAACTTTCTTTTGAGGTGCTATTTGTTTCTGTTCCAGAAAACTTACCTGAAATACCTTCAACATTAGTTTTAATTATAAAATGTGTCGTTCAAGGGTATCTTACCAATATGGCTTGTGTTTCAAATCAAGAACAAGGTACCAAGATCTGTTGACAATTTTAAAAGTGATCATAGTGTTTCTTCTAATAATTCTGAACGCATAATTTTAGTTCTTGCGAAAGATTATCCTCAGTTTAGCAACAGTGTTTTGGGCAATGAGGAACAAAATCAACCATGCCCAGAGATTACTTGACACCTCTTACAGACAATTACTTTCTGGCAAAAATACCTTTCTCTTGTAGGAGTGGGCCACAGGTGAATGAATGAAAAGTGTTCAGGAAGGCTTCTCGTGCTTTTCATTCCTAAATATTTTGTTGACTTTATTTTGTGAGACAAAGAGTTATAGTGAACTGCACATACAAAGTAATGTTTAGAATCTGAGGTCTAAGCAGGGCATGGGGGCCATTTATTGTGGTGGGCATTACAGAGAAACCCCAGACAATATTATTTTGCATTTCTGGAGACTCCAATATTTGGTACAATGACAGACTGGAACATGCAATGATTTTATACTTTACTGACAATACCACAGAAGGCACTTATACAAGTTAATCTTCAAAAACCATCTCATACAGAGTGCCTCAAACATAAGAGATCAACATCTATATCATATTCAACTACATTACTGAGGAGATTAGGAGTGAATGTTGCAGGGAGTCTTTAAGACTTGACAGAAAGCATTTTCCAGTCTGCATAAATACTGATAGCTACGGAGGGTGAAACTGTAACCAGGATAGCATCAGTGCAGCAATTATGAAATGGAAGAACAAGATGTTACCTTGATCCCCATGTTTCACAATGCAAGCCTGAAAGAGACATTAGAGGTATAGTTCCTGTCAGACCCAAGTGTCTCTGAGGTTATAATATGGAAAAAGGGTGAATAAGAAGTATCAGAAATGCAGTAGCATAGTTGGTTGAGGCACTAAGCTACAAGCCGGAAGGTCGTGGGATCAAATCCCGATGAGGTGGATTTTTTTCAATTTACCTAATCCTTCCAGCCGCACTATGGCCCTGGGGTCAAGCCTCTTTTAACAGAAATGAGTACCAGGAATATTCCTGGGGGTAAAGGGCGGCTGGCGCATAGAACTGACAAACCTTACCACCGTCTATGAGCCAACTGTCTAGAAAATGTGGGACCCTCAACATCTCACAACCCTATGGGCCTCCATGGCCTGTTTCAGGGATACCTTTACTTTTACTTTACTTTACAGGCCAACCACAATGAATATTTCTGAAAAGCTTATTGTAACAGTTAATTTCTTAAATCTGAGCTGTAGGAAAGAATTTTCAAGATTTCCTTGACTCAGATGGTTTATGGACTAACAATCAAATGGCTTTCTTGGAGGGTGGGCAGTGTCAGAACACAATGGTTGATGTTTCTTTCTGGATACCACTCTTTATGAGCAAAATACCTGTTTTAATGACATTTTTTCTGTAAATCTTCTACAGTTTACTGGGTAAAGACAATTCCAAATCCCAAAAAATTTACGAACATGCTGTTACATTTCTGTCATGAAATTCTGAACTCAGAACATGTACAGTTCAATACAGTATCTTACCACAACTGGACACAGTAATGTTAGGTCTGACTGGCCAAAGAAACAAATGATCAATAATTCTCATTATCGTGGCAACAGTCTTGAAGGACTCTGCTTACTCTACATGTGACTCGATGCTGACACAGCTAAATGACCGTGCACACATAATGCTGGTGTGTTGGATAAGGTACTCTGTGTGCGGCTTACCAAAGAGCAACATGAGGTAATGGCCTTTTTCTCACGTACAGGCAATGACATAACTCCAGTAATAATGGAAGTGGAAAGTATGCAAGCAAATACTAAATACTTGCACATTTTAAATGTACAAAATATCCAAACAAGAAGTTACTTTTACTTACAACTGGATTTATTTCATTTATAACTCTCATTCCCATGGATCTATAATTTTCATAGCTTCAAAAATCACTTTATTATACCAATTTTGTGGAATCACAATGATTAACATGTCACATGAATGTGTTACATAGGATAAAGTTACACACATAAAAATGCTTCCTTTGAACTAAGCAAACATGCAAAGGGAAAATATTCATTCATTTCCTTTATTTTCCATATATCCTTACAGGTAACAAACCTAGGATCTGGAAATGGTCCCTTTCAAAATAGATATATCAAGATACATATACAAAATTATACAAGTCACATAATCAAAATCACTTACATTAATCGATTAACATAGACAATAATATAAAGTAAAAAAAATTAGTAAGATTATAATTAATGAAAATAATTTAAAAATAACTCAGTATAAAACTTGAATTAATACAATTTTATTCAAATTACCTATATTAACTGAATTAAGTGCATCACAAAATTACACACTTATGACCAATTATGTTGATAATATTCATTCATGGAATAAAAAGAATGATATAAGAACTTCTTCAATGCAGATTTAAAGCTTCTCTCATCAGTAGCCAACATTTTTATTGTTTGAGGAAGATGATTAAAAACTTTGATACCTGATATGTACACACCTTTATTGTGTTAGGCTAACTGCAGGTAAATATAAATTATTGAGGGCTCTAGTTTTATATTTGTGAATCTCATTGCTAAAATTAAATGAATGTTTATTATTAATTGTGTATAAAAGTAATGAATATATGTACTGAGAGTAGAATGTCATTATTTCCAAATTCTTAAAAATGTCCCTACAAGACTCTCTTGGCCTAGAATTTGTTATAATTCTAATAACTCTCTTTTGCAATATAAAAACCTTGTTAACACAAGAAGAGCCACCCCAAAAAATTATACCATAACTTATGATAGAATGTATATGAGCAAATTAAATTAAATCAAACAACCATGACCCAATGTGACAAAAAAAACTACCTCAGAAAGTAGGAATGGGGGAGCCAAACCTCATTCTGTATCACAATTCACAGACAGGTGAGTTTAGGGACATTAGGACGATCTAGGTGTTCTAACCTATTTCAAGATTCCTAGGAGTCTGCTAAAAAAATTAAGACAGGAGTCTTGGGAGTATAATGCCAACAACTAAATCAGGGAGGATAAGCTTCACCTTACCATCTTCAGAAGTGGGTAATAACTGTTTATGAATGCAACTGAACGTTTCAACTTCGGCACAGTCCACTAACCTCCAGGAATTCTAAATTTATTCAGACAACACTTCAAGCTGGTTTTAGGGGATCACATTAATCTATTTGAAACCAAGTAACATTGCAGTAGAACAAATCTGTCATACAAAACATTTCAGTAATAAATCTAATATCAAGATTGTACTTACTTTCACTACTCCCTTGATGTAACCGTGTCTTTCTGCGAAGTCAAGTGCACGAAGACGAGGTGCCCCCTTTCGGTGCTTTGTATGCGATCGGAACACACTTCCAGCACCCTTCCTTTGTGCTCGAATAACACGCCCCATTTTGGTTCTAAACAGCAAATATGCGATAGATACACATCTGCACAATCAATATGGGAAATACATAAACATGCATCTGCTAAAATATAGTTTTCAAACCCATCCGTCTTACAGTAACTGTGATACAAAATATATTGCGCCACAAACTACACTATATTTACGTTAAACTTTCCTTACATGATCGCAAGATACAATATCGATAAATGTAGATTAGTTCAAGGCTTTACAACAACACAGCAGACATACAGCACCAAAACGATTCACATGGCTTCACATAACCACGGAATACAGCTCAATACCAATCGACACCAATGCCACTGAATTTGAAGTAATCGATTTCAATAATCGATATATCACTATTTTAAACGGAAGTGACGTTCAGAACCGAAATATCAACCACAGGGGGTGCACACTATACACCAACATGATACCTACACCATAAAATACAGAAACAAAAACATGTGACATCTGTCGGAAGGAAGTTAAAGACAACGACAACGCCATAGCGTGTGAATGCTGTGGCAGATGGCAGCACTAGGAATGCAGTGGCCTAATCAAAAGCGAATTCGAGACCTTCGAGACGGTGAAAAGAAAAAACTGCAAGCTATCATGGCTGTGCAGCAAATGCAAAATGCAAATTACGCGAAAGCAAAACAATGAAGAAGAACCCATCATAAAACTGGCAGAGAAAGTACAAGAAATGCTTAACTTCATGGAGAACGACCTTCAGAAAAAAATCCGAGAAGAGATAGTAAACACCCTACCCGCTGAACTGGAGAAACTCAAAAACCCGGAACCAAGGACGGAAAATACCGGAGCCACAAATCCCCCAACAAAGCCCCAGAGCAACCACAACCGCAACGAAGGGGAAGAAACACAAGATGAAAACCCACCAAAAAAAAATCATACAGAGACAGCGTCATAATGGAAACAAGAAGAAAAAGAAATGCACCCCCACCTCCCAGGAGGGAAGCAACACAATATGGAACAAAAGAAGTTGAAAAAGAACTTCAAGCTGCAGTAAAAATGGCCTGGCTTTTTGTAGGCAGGCTCAGAGAAAACACAAAAATAGACACAATCAAGAATTATATCAGAAAGAACGGGATAACAGACGGAGTCGAATGCGAAGAAATACAAACGAGAGGAAGAAGCAAAGCCTTCCGACTGGGGCTCCACTTCAATCGCCTATCCGAAGTAGAAGCGCCAGAAATCTGGCCCAAAGGAGTGCGAGTCGAACGCTTTCGATTTCGCTCACGACCATTCCAAGACACCGACCTCAACGCTTAAGGACTGCAATAATCAAGAAACGACCAACAGCAAAAGAATATTGGATTTACTCCTGTGGAATGTGGAAGGAATAAAATCAATAATGCAAAACGCCCCGGATACAATAACACAAAATCATGACATTATAGTATTAACCGAAACCTTTCTAACAGAATACACAGCCATACCAGGATATTACACAACGCACACTTATGCAATCCAAAAACAAGTAGGCAGACCTAGCGGAGGAGTCTCATGTATTTATAACAACAAAATAAGGGGAAAAATAGCGGAGTATAAAGAAGACAACGTGGTACACATAACAACATACCTAGAAATAATAGGTCTATATATTCCACCCCAAACCAACATAGAAGATGCAATAGAGAAGATAGCAAGTGCAATCAGCAGACTAGACCACAAAAAACCAGCCATACTCGCAGGGGATATAAACTGTAGAATTGATAAACCCGACAAAAAAACCCAAGAGGTTACGAAACTACTACAGGAAGAAGGATTCTGTCTAGCAAATAGAACAGATGTGATGACATACAAAGCACCGAATGGGTGCAGCTGTATTGACCTCGTGTTCAAGAAAGGAAACGAGATAGAAATAGAACAAAAAACAGAAACATCATTAACTTCACCACTAAGGAAACACCTACCGATAAGCACAAGTTTCAAATATGGAGGCAAAGAACAGCAAACGAAAACAGAAACAAGCATCCTGAGAAAAACAAGAAGAATCCAAAAATACATATTGGGAAAACAAGAGGACATCATGCAAATAATAGAACAAAACGAAATCGACGATGCCGCACGGAAGATGACTGAAATATTACAGAATGCTGCCCCAACAGCCAAAGAGAGGAAGGCCAAAATATGGTTCGATGCAGAATTCTACAATATGAGAAAAGCAACAATAGAGGCACTACACAGAGCAAGACAAACTCAGAATAGCAACGAACTAAAAGAATATGCAGAAAAAAGATACAAAGCACTGATAAAAAGCAAGAAAAGGGAACACATCGAAAATGAAGGGAAAATGATAGCCGAAGAAGCCGAGAAAGACCCGTTCGTGGCAACCAAAACAACGAAGAAACAAATGCCACAAGAAGTAAATATAAAGATACGTGAACAACATTTCACCAAGATACTTAGCCAAAATACACCCACCAGCGGCTCCCGAACGGACGACGTCAGGGCATGTCAGCCAATCTCACATGCAGAAGTGTTAAAAGCTATAGAAAGAACACAAAACAAGAAAGCCGCAGGACCAGATGGAATATGTTATGAACATATAAAAGAAGCAAAGGACATCATATCAAAACCACTAACGGGACTATACAACAGATGCCTCGAAACTGGATCCATACCACAAATTTGGAGAAAATCCCTGATGAAAGTACTGTACAAGGGAAAATGAGACCCAGAAGACCCGAATAACTGCCGAGGGGTAGCGTTAGAAAACACAATGTTCAAGATACTGACCAAAATCCTAACTGACCGTTTAACAACAACAGTAGACTCACTTATCCCCTCGAAAATCAATTTGGGTTTCGGCCACAAAGATCAACGATACAAGCCATCACAGCACTACTAGAAGCAATTGAAGAAGCATTAAGACATCCACGAGGAAATACCATGTAGTTTTCATAGATTATAGCAAGGCATTCGACCTACTCGAC